TATATAAGATAAAATTCTTTGTTAACATCGCCACAATACGAATTCGGCGACTCAAATTTGAACTGAACTTTTATATTAATAAATATTAAAAACAATGTTATCGGTGTGTTGCGCAGTGCGATTGCAGCCTCTGCGCCAATTTTGCAGTTCTCTGGTTTTGTGGACTGCGAAGCGTTCAGCCGGATAGCAACCTCGGACTTTCGGGCCTCAAATCCAACGTGCGCGCAGCTCATTCGGAAGTCATGGAGTACAATAACGAATGTGACTTCGAATGGTAATAAAACAATACTCTAATAATTATAATATGCTTATCAGTTTTTTAATTCTTGCTGTTTTCATATTTTAGATGAAGGCAAAAAGTGGTTATCGGATAGTTGGAAATTCTGCGAGCCACTGAAAACCACGGAACACGTACAGGCGCTGAAAGATATTCTGTCGGAGATCTACATAAATTTAGCTATGGTCAACTATCCTTACAATAATAACTTTTTAATGCCGCTACCGGGTTATCCGATTAGCGTGAGTATTCTTAATTTTATGAATTTTTCTCTACGCATAGCTTGTCTGGTGAATGTAAAATCACCTTTCCTTCTTGCTGAAAATTGAATAAAATTATTCTGCACACTTTATATACAAAAGAATTACAAATACTAATGAAAATGAATTTGAAGCTTTCAAACTTATGATTTGAATGTTTTCTATCGGTTTGAAGGTTTTCTGTCGACACCTAACAAACGCTTCGTTGACTGGTAAACCATTATTATCAGCACTTTATCAAGCTATCAGCGTTTATACCAACTATACCGGTAAAGCAAGCTGCTTCTCTACAAAGACGGCGGATATGGAATTAGACTCTAAGACATGGGAATATCAAGCCTGCACAGAGATGGTGTTGCCGATATGCGCTGATGGTATCAACGATATGTTCGAACCAGTGGAATGGAACCTCACGGATTATAATAACACTTGTTTCAAAAAATATTCTGTATCATCGAAACCTTATCTGATTTGTGAGGAATATGGTTGCAAGAATTTTAGCAACGTAACCAACATCAATTTTAGGTATATGGAACAATATTTTATAAGCAAATATTTAAACCTTCTCTCACCTTTTTTCTGTAACGGATATTTTTAAGCTTCTATTTCAGTTGTTACTACTACATTTTATTTTTGTTTCTATATTATCTTTATTTCTACATTTTATTTATATGCATTACTTGTTCACCAGTTCAAACACTTTCTCTTTCTTTTTCTTAGTAATGGATTGTTGGATCCATGGTCGAGCGGAGGTGTGCTGCGTAATTTATCCTCATCGGCGGTTGCGATATTGATCCCAGATGCTGCGCATCATCTCGACTTACGAGAAAGTAATAGGAACGATCCGTACAGTGTTACTTTGGCGCGCAAGTTCCATAAGTATTCCATCAGGAAATGGATCGAGGAACATCAATAGATTTTTAAAACTCGATATAATAAAAGAAAATTGCGGAGAATTCAGAAATAACTTGTCTGTGATCGAAATTCATCTTTTTTATTTCTCAAATTATAAATACAAAAACAGGACACGCACACCGCGACAACAATAAATACTCAGGCGCTGCCGTGGATCGATTACTTATAACAAAATGTTTGCGAAAACTCAATCGAAAACGTACGCGAAAATATTTCGGTATCACAGTAAAATAATAAATGCACATATCTCTTGGACATTCTAAAAGATCTACGAGAGAGTATACAATATTTTTAGACAATGCAAAAATCTAAAAAATATTTAAGAAACACATCTGATCTATATCTTTCTGATGTTTGCGTTGTCTAAAATCTTTCGTCATGATTCTAATATCACTATAGCACATAAAGATGGCTACTTTATAAAATAAAAATGTAACGCTATCGAGATTATTTGATACTAATATTCGACATTAATCATAAATATACGCGCTGTATTCCTAATTTATCTCTTTATCGTTTTTAATGTTTTAAAATTTCTTATGCCAAATTTATTCGAAGAAATCATGATATTGATATGAATCATTATATAAGCAAATGAAGGTGCTGAAGATATACGGATTTCTAAAATAAACTTATTTAAAAGAACGAATTTTAAACCGAATCTATAAATATAAT